AACAAGGGAAACTGGATGCGATTATTCGAAAGTGCATTAAGAGGGTCTTGGGCCTTCCAAACAACACAAATGAGGAAAAGCTCAAGGCTCTTGGTATGCATAATACATTTAGTGAGATTGCAGAAGCGCAACAAACAGCACAAGCTGCACGACTGTCCTCTTCCAAAGCTGGGAGACGCATCTTGGAGTTTCTGGGCTGCGAACCAACTATGGTAGCAGACAAAAAGATACAGCTTCCACCCAAATTGAGGGAGCAGATTACGGTCTCGCAAATTCCTAGAAATGTTCACCCTCTCTACAATGTCGGCCGCCGGGCCGCTAGGGCTAGGTCACTCCTCAGTTCCGCCGCTGCCACCCCTGAACTTGTGGCGTTCGTTGACGCAGCACAGTATCCCGGCACATCCAATTTCGTGGCTGTGGTCACTGACCTTCACGGTAAAATCCTCACAGCAGCATCTCTTCGAGATACCACGCCGGCTAGGGCAGAGCAGGCTGCTATAGCAATGGCCGTGGCGATTCCCATGCGCACGCGCATTTTCACTGATTCTCGAGCTGCTGCACGAGCGTTCATGACCGGATCAGTCTGTGAGCAGGCGGCCCATCTTCTTACCAAAAGACCACATTGCACGGAAATCGACGGCCACATCACCTGGTTTCTTGCCCACATGGGCAAGGATGTCCACCCTGTTATCCCCAATGCCAATGAGCTTGCCCACGCCCGAGCACGCGAACTGTCCCACCGTGACGGGCAATCGGCATCTAATTTTGGGGATGGCATCCGGCAGCTTGATTCGCTCCTCACCTTTAACGAAATTTGCAAAAATTATCAATTGGCCAGGCGTAGCTTTCCGCTCCCGCACCCGCAACTCTCTAGGGCCCAGTCAGTCACTTTAAGAATGCTGCAAACGGGTACTTACCCGTCGCCTTTAGTGTACAGCAAGTTTATCGACAGCATAAAGCCGCAATGCCCTCATTGCGAAGAGAGACGTTGCACGTTACCCCACATGCTCTGGCAATGCACGGCGCTGCGCGATGGCGAGCCTCTCAGCACAGAAGCTGCCTGGAGGACGGCAATTACCAGCTCGGACCGAGAGGTCCAAATCCGGGCTGTCCAGAGGGCCCGCAATTTGGCGGAGGGGCTCGCTCTTCCTGTCCCCACGTGGGTGCGGCCCGCAGCCGACCCTCCCTCTTGAGGGGAATCGGCTCCTCAGGACAATTTGTAAATAAAGTTCATTGACTGACTGACTGATGTCCTCTTTGCGCATCAAATTTCAAGGGAAGGCTCGGCCGGCCAACCTGCAAACAGGCAGATCCCTCGACTAACGAAAATTTCATGGCATCTATAATTGCGCATCGACGCGACACTTAACCCCTAGATATATTGTTACAAGTTCCTGTGCTGCGAAAGAAAAGCGTATGCCTAATTAATAGCCGCCAGACTGGCAGGCTAACTCGTGAAGCCTGCAGCAAACACCTTAACCTACCAACCACATTAGGGAACCCTATGCTACGTACTCCGAAATCCGGTCAGCTGCAAGCCCTATATAGTGTCTCCACAGTTAGAATGCGTAATTGCTTTTTGCAACCTGCTGTAATGGTTTAAGCCTGGTGTTTATTTCATACGAAAGGGGCTATTTTTAAGGTATCGCACTGCATCGGTCAATATTAGTCGGTGTTTTCTCCCAAAAGCTCGAACACGTACTTAATTTGCTTTTTCCTTAGAAAATTTACTTACTTCCTCAACCGACATTTAGAAGGGGCGTTCACCTTACAACAACACACAGGCTATACGTCGACTCATTCCACAGAACTAACATCGTGACCGGAAAGTAATTGTTCGACTAACAGATTTACCTGAACCATCTTCATAACTGCTGCCCGGTGGGTCACTGCGTGCTCCTGGTGCAGGGTGGCTAGAATGGCCCCGGCTGCGAACTGGCTAAAGATGGTCTCCGCAGCGCTCTTTCTTTCTTTATACGATGGTCCTTAGTTTAGACGTGCGTGGGCACCACGGCTTCACCGCCAACTCTATACGTGTCGTTCTTAACCGAGACTGGCCCCGGAGAGAAGGACTGCGCTGCGCCGATGGCGCGTAACGTTGCTTTCGCTTCACTGCCGTCGCCTTTTCTTCTCTTCTTCCCCGACTTTCTTTTCTTCGTACAAGAGGAAACTCGCGTTCAGTGTTACTTTTGGTACAAACGGGCAATGCTTGCTTCTTTCTCCACGGAACTCTCGTCCTTCGGTTATTCGGGTGAAGTGAACAAACAAGATGTAACTTCGTCTCTCAAGCGCTTGTGAACTACTACATATTCTATTACATCGCCAGCAAAACCGTGCAGGCTATCGCAGTTTCAAAGCGAAAGGTGAAACTGACGTGCGCGAGCCGCGAATAGACAGCAGATATCGGAATGCAGATGCACATTATGCACGGAAAGTCCTTGGAAGGCTATGTATATAGCTACTAGCAAGGCAGTGCTGACAGATGTAGTCTTTTTTTTTTTCTTATGAAAGGGCAGTGCAGTGTCTAGAAATATTTCTAGACACAGTGTCAATAAATATTTCTATACACTACACCGTTACGATTACTCAACGAAATGACATTTGGTGCCTATTCAATATGTGACATATCACCATTCCCAGTATTCGCATTTCGTTGATTTAATATCGAAACCACGATATCATGAAGTGTGTGACGGGAAAGGGGGTAGGGGGGGAGCCTTCCCGAAATATTTTTATCATATGGGTTCTTCAACAAGCCTCTATACAAGAACACGGGTGTTCTTTCGCCCTGATCGATGTAGGCAGCCGCCGTGGTACGGGAATCGAACCCAATATAGTCTTCGAGCTTAGCAGGTCTCTCTGTCTCTCTCCTTTGTATTGATTATTATCTAGTATCTGTTGACGTGAAAGTGTAACGCATTATATATATAGTTACCTGGCTCCTTGTGTCGCCACGGCTTTTTTCTGGTTTCTAGGGCCCTCGCGTTTTTTTTTTTTTTTCAAACTCTTCCCGCACACAAATCTGATCTAGCCGTAGCCAACTACACATACGTGCGTGCATGAAGGCTGGGGGTGAGGGAATAGTAGTCGCCTAAAAAGGAAACCCTGCGCATACCTATGATTACGCTTGTAAAAACTCATCATTTAATTAACCTGGAGTGTATAACTTGATCGACGCCGGTAGCCTTTGCCAATTCGGCCGCTCTTCGAAATAATTTATTACACAATGTATTACTTATTACCCGCCATGGTGGGGCCCGAAGGGCACGAGATAGAATTCTGGCCGTGACGGCCGTATTTGGAAGCGAAATGCTTAAAGCCAAACAGATTCCTTGCCCAGCCCTCACCGGCTGTCTAAAATTTATCCAGAGGAGATTACACCAAACTGCCGACATTGCAGCTGAGTAAAAGCTACCCAAAATCACACCCTTTGCGAATGCGACGGTAACCCCCCACCAAGAACAATACTGCCAGCTTCCTCCCTCGAGGCGTAGGAGTCGCTCCTGTCGTCAGCTGACTACCGTCTTCAGGCAGAAATGGTTAACTGGGCTGAAACGGTCGTGGCAAGCTTTTGGCCACCATCCTTCGAACCACCGGCAAATTAAGTTCACCGACCTTGCTATGCCATCAATAAAGTTGTTTCTCTCTCTTGAGGCCCGTGTACTAAAATTTACCTTAAGGAACGTACTCCGCTCACTACGGCATTCCTCATAATAATATATTGAGAATTTAGATTGTAATAAAGCTCCAACAATAATTTTAAGGGTATTTTTATTTCGTATACATAAATTACATTAACGTCATTGTGGTTGCCTTCTTTGGGTACCAGTGAGTTGAGATGCTGCATGAACTCTTGCTCGACCCCTCGGAGCGAGAAATAGCGACATCAGATTAGTGCCGGTGTACCTTCCAACACTTTGTATGCCCCGTTGGTGCGGCTGGCGAACCGAAGAGAGCGAGCGAACACAAAAGAATGCGAGGGGTGAACGACTCTCTGTCGTCCCTTGCACTGGCCCTCTAAAATGCGAGAAAAAGTCATGGCGGCCGCCATTTTCAGGTACCCAGCGCAGCGAACCTGTCTGTGACGTCACGTGCTTTGCGTGCAAGCACTGAAGATAAAAGTAACGTTCAGAGTACACAGATTGATGATGATATGTGTGGTTTGGCATCCCAAAATCACCATATGATTATGAAAGACGACGCGTAGCGGAGGGCTCCGGAAATTTTGACCACTCGGGGGTCTTTAACGTGCTCCCAAATCTGAGCACACGGGCCTACAGCCTTTTCGCCTCTATCGAAAATGCAGCCGCCGCAGCCGGGATTCTAACCCGCGACCTGAGGGTTAGCAGCCGAGTAACTTAGCCACTAGACCACCGTGGCGGGCCAGATTATGCAGATTACAAGAAAAGCGTGCTGAAGATTTTATGTTAATTCGACTACAGAATGCTGACTCGACTTTTCCATTTTTCTACATAGCCAGTTGCGCTGATCCAAGTGGATGATGGTGATGATAACGTGGCGGCGTGAGAGCAGGATGACGTAAGGCAAGACTGACCAATAGGAGAATCAAGAAAATTTTCTGGGCTGATCGACGACGAATATCCAAATTCGCGCGCAAAACTTACAATTTATCCATAAATGGTGTGCCGTAAGGTGTCTTTGAGCACGACCTGCTTAAATAAATAATACTAAATGGTAAGTTTTTTTTTTTTATCTATTAGTCATTTCAATGTCACTCTAGGTGCGGCCTGGATGGGGCGGCAAAGTATTTCCGTCTCAGCGTAAAGATTGTGTGCGGAAACGAAATTTAGTAAATTTAGTATATGATAAATATGCTGGCCTAGAAGGACTGGTATACGCTTAGCATTCTGTCAATAGCTGCTTAAAACATTGAACAAGCTAGGGATACGAGTGCTGAGTATTTAGAATCTTGGCACGTCTTGTTGCCTTTCTGAAATGTCTCGGTTTCGGTTTTTCATGACGAAGACAAGCCGTGCTAAGTCGCTAGCCAACAATGTGCTGTAGTCGTGACTGAAAACAATGACCGATGCCGGGTTTTTTCGCGTAAGTTTTTCCTCTTTCACGAACATTTTTTGTGATCACATAGTTAAGAAATGTTTCCAAAGGTAGTATCATCAAGGCTGATTTTATTAAGGCGCTGTGGTGCCTGTTGTTGCATGGTTAACTTAGTCTGTGCTGCAGAGCCGGTAGGCCTAACCACTGAAGCACTTACGCCGCGTCGTCAAAGTGCAAGCAAATCCGTTTGACGATTTACAGTCGGCTCCTCGTAGTGGCACACTGCGCATTCAATACGATTGAGGCTGTTATGAAGAGCAGCGATTCGCGTGCATTGTAGTGTTCGAAAAAGTGCGATCACGTCGCCAGAAGCAGGAATTAGCCCGCCTAATGTTGGCAGCCGGGCACCATTATCAACGGCATTTCGGCAAAACGATTATGAATATTTGGGTGACGGGGATGTTACCTGACGCGCATGTTGTGCCATAGTTGGGCTTGTCCTACATTGTTCGCCAAACGTCGTAGCGTGCATTTAAAATCAGTGTTTTCAACGTGCGCACTGCATTGTTTACAGGGGACGAGCGCAGAGCAAGATAATCGCTTCACCGACAAACAGAAAAAGCTCTTGAAGCAACTGAGATTTCACGATGTTCTCAACAAAAGGGTGAGCTCACATTGCAGCACCTTTTTTATAAGTGTTGTCTTTTGCAGCTAACCGGCTGACACGTGTTCACTTTCCTGTAGGTTGACATGACCAAAGTGAACCTGGACACCGTCAAGCCATGGATCACGAAGAAGATAACCGAGTTACTTGGGATGGAGGATGAAGTCGTGGTCGAGTTTGTTTTTAACCAACTAGAGGCAGACAAGGTTTGTGGCATGCTTGTTACAGGCATGAGTACTTGCTGGTCCTTTAATTGAGGTGAACTGCAAATACCGGACGTACGACCGTTATTCGTAGTTGTGTTTAATGCCATAGTAGTGCCTCTCAGTAGATATGATATTAATGCAAGGCGCAGTTCTTTCGTAAGATGCGACTGCAGTCGAAGTTTAACTTTGCAGTTCCCATTTTGCCGATTGCACTTGTCATTTTAATATCAATAGACTTACTGTAATACTCAGTTATGGTAGCTACTAGCAAGGGCGATAGTAGGCAGTGCTGACAGATGTTGTTTTTTTTTTTTTTCTTGTGAAGGGGCAGCCCCATCAGCTGTTGCATGTAGGTGAAGCAAACTAACGGGATCTGTTGAATCTTTCAGTCCAGCACAATCACAGCTAAGGACCTCTTGCATCCAAACTAAAGTTCCTTTGGATCCGAAATGCTCATGTATGTACTCGTCTGGTGGGGGAGGCAAGAAAAAGCGTTGCCCTTACGTAGCCTTTGTTCAGTCTTTTTAGGCCATGTCTGCTTTTGGCCACGGCGTGCCTCTTGTTTCCGGTCTTCGCACAGGTGGTGCACATCTCAGGTGGTAATGGTTCTCCTTTCCAGTGTGGTCTGACTGTGCTCTGCGCAGACTGAGGCCGCGTTTTTCTTTTCGCTCATGTGCCGGTTGCCCAGAGCCAGCTGCTGTTGTGGCTTATAAAATCTGAAAGGACAAGCTGCGATCACCAAATTGCATTCTTTTCAACGTACTTTAGACACGGTCAGCCTTGCACAAAATGCAGGAAGGCATGCTGCGAAAAGTGCACAGGCCGCACAGCACAAGTTTGCACAGCTGCTTAGGCTCCTCTTCCACTGGTTGTCTCATTACGGCTCACTTCTGAAGGTATCGGGAGCCAGCAAGTTTTTCAAGCCAGCCAAAGGGTTGTGGTAGAAGAAGCTTGCTAGCGAGCATGAAATGAAATTTCTGATGTCATTTAGCTCCCTTTATCAGATGCGACATGACCCTGACTGGTGAAGATTAAATCTCCTTAGCACTGAAGTGCAAGAAGAGCCTTGCAACATGTTAAAACGTTGCTGCCTTTAGTGTGATCTGTGTGCTTTTCTATGCTTGAACTCGATCGTGGCTTTTTGTGTGTTATTCTTGTTCATTGAATTACATTGAAAAGGGCACTCAAGGTAAATATTAAGTTAAGTTTGAAATCGTGGCAATTCGGACATGTTAATAATTTATAACCAATAAATTTTGAAGCGCACAATCATTTAAGGACAAAAGAAGAATGTGTGATACACACAGATGCTCTTGTGTTTTATGTGTTCATTTCTGTCCTTTAAAGTTTATTGATGAACTCAAGGCTAAGCTTAATCGATGCAGTTCTGAACATATCTGGAATGGTTGTTCTAGGCTTAGGTGGCCTTGTCGTGGTCTTATTTATATCCAATCATCTATGATTGAAGAAATATGTATGTCAGTGCAGTGTTCAGGTGTCGTATTTGTCATTTCATCTGACGAAGTTCTCAGTGTGTCGGTATGACAGTGGTATAAATTTTGTAGTAAGCAGCTGCAGGGAAATCTAGAATGGTACATACGAAGGGGAACACTTGAAGTGATTAACCATTGTTGGAAAAAGGGAAGTCTGTCTAGGCAACATTTCCTGCATGAGCTTATTCTTAGAGGCTTGTCTCCAGTGAGATCTTCTATTTGATCGCTGCTGTTTCAGGAAAACATGGCAGTAAATTTTATCTGAAATTCACCAGTGAACATGCTTGCATAACTGTATCTTTTTAGTGGGTAACTGAGCTTTTATAGCCAACTTATTGGGTTATGTCATTTTCAGCAGATAACTAAACTGCAGTGTCTGCCTGTAAACAGTCTTTTACCAAACAGCCAAAATGGGTCAAATATTTTTGACGCTGCAAGGTACTCTTAACTCTTCTATGTTCTCAACACAGTTGAAGACTAATGGCGAGATAGATTGCTGGCCTAGAATGAAATATTCTGAAAAAACAACTTGGCTTCCAAACATTACTAATTCAGGCAGCGTAATGGATTATGGGGCCCATTTCTTTGTTGCATACAATCTAAGGAGCAGAAGTGAATTAATTTGATTTAATAGAGGAACCAGGAAATTTTTCATGTGAAGGTGTGAGGGCTAAAGTTTACACAAATCTAGCTATCATCATAACTATGGTGAATCATTTCTGTACAGTTACTAATATGCACTGGCACCAGGTGTCTCCTTGTAAATATATATACGACTATCTCTCAGTCTTGTGGTCGCAGTCTCTTGTCGCATGCTATGCAGCTCTTGTGTCAACTTCAACAAAGGAAAAGGTACACGAAGTTGTGTGCTAAGTTGCAGCTCATAAAGCAATTAGTCTACCATGCTAATGCATGTCAAATAGTCACCATTAAATGCTTTTTGTGATGTTAAAATGGAGGTTAGGGCCAGTGGAGGCCCTTACACTGAGCTTTAGCCTTCTTAGTTTAACATGTGCAGCTTCTGAGTTAAGGGATGCCTGCTATCAAGCTGCTTGGCAATGTCTACTGAAAGAAATTGAATAGAAGTTGCACTTCCTCTCGTTTTCATGTTCTTTACTAGAAACTGCCGTGATAATATATGCTAAAGTTTCTTAGTTTCTTTTCTCGACCTCGTTCATTTCTTGTAATTTCCAAGAACACACAAGAGTTCATCCTAGTGAGAGAAACACATTTACTGTTCCACGATGCCGATGTGTCAGCTTAGCTCATCATTGTTTACCTTTAGTGTCCTTTTAAAATGTTACTTCTTGGCAATTTTCGGGCATTTGAATGTCACCCATTCGTGCTTCAAGTGATTGCCGATAATTGGATTGTTGGCTACGCTTGCGCGCATTTTCTGCTCAAGTGTTTCAAGAGTGCTGGCTTTTAAGAACTGTTCTTCAATTATTTTCAGAATGCTTGTATACCATTAATGTTTCCGGTCTAAATAATGCAAGTATCATTGATCACTCATTCCTAGGCATGGGGAATTTTGAGAAACTCCTTTAGTTATGCATTCTTTTTGATAATATTAGTGGGAAACTGGAGTTATTCCTTGTTAATATGTGTAATTCCAACAGTCCTGCAAAATCTTAGATTGTAATGCATCCAAATTGGCATATTGGAGAGCTATGCTTTCTGTTTTGAGATGCACTAAAGTTCAAAAAGCCGATTGAGGTCACATTTCTAAAAAATTCACTTAGACTGTTCATGATTCTATCCGACTGTGTCAAATCAGAGTAAGTCTTATAGAATACTTTTAGGTGGCATGGTAGAAGAAGGTCCATTGACTGCCTGTAAGGGGTTTAATGACAAATGTTACTGAAGCTCTCTTGTACTTTCAGCCTTCAGCTGCAGTTTACGACTTCCTACTCGTGCTACAAATCCTTTCATTTTGCTCTGCTCATTATTAAGACAGACCACCTGCATACAGATCTCCATAACTTGCTTAGAAATAAAAATTTGGTCACGGTTGCACAGTCATGTCAGCCATCTTATTTTGTCTCTTTTGCAGGCTACCCTTTGTAGTCTGTCAGCCTTCTCGCCAAAGCAGCACCATGTTGGAATTTCGATGATATCTGGGCCTTGCCTCTCTCTCTCCCTGTCCAGCATCCAGACCCACGGATGATGCAGATCAACCTGACAGGCTTCCTGAATGGCAAGAATGCTCGCGACTTCATGGGTGAGATGTGGACCCTGCTGCTCAGTGCGCAGGAGACAGGTGGCATTCCTGCAGAGATCCTCGAAGAGAAGAAGGCGGAGATCAGAAGACGCCAGGTGGGAATAGCTTGGCCTTCACTTTTTTTTTTTTTTTTTTGGTCATTGGCGTGAGCGTTGCTGTAAATAGAAGGTTTCTCTACTTAATCGTGCAGTTGCCATACTTATGGCATAGGCGTCGGGGACGTTGCATTCATGACAGCTCATAATTGATATTAAGGAACGAAAATAAACGCAAACACAAGGGAGGACATGGGACAGAGTGCCTCTTTTATACTACTCTCAGGAAACCGCGCAAAACTGTTCTATAATCGAAAAATTAAGAATATAGGCAGTGACACTCAGCCTCGCCTAAAAAAAAAGGGTAAAGTCCTCCCGATTAAGCCCACGGCACAACCTTGCAATTCTTTAAGGAAGTTATATTTTTGCCAATTTCAACTAATGGCAGCATTGCTTGTTAAAGGAGGCGGGAGTGAATTTCTATCATCAACTTTAAAATATCAAATTCAGTGCGTATGTTTCTCCCAATAAATTGAGTCCAAAAATTGCCTGCACGTGAGAACAAAACTGAAACTGTGTCGCTAACAGCCTCCCGTCAAATAATTCAGACACAGTGTCATCACCACCATGTCATGGCGACAGACGAGTATGCAAAAAATGCCTTCATGTGGGACTGAGCTGTGTTGTGCGTTGTAATTTGTTGCCTTGTGGAGTGCAACTAGTGATGGCTCGCTATTGTTATGAGCGTTGATGGTCGAGTGAAAGTTATTTTCTCTGACATTGGAACGGTTGTTTCTCTGACATTGGAACGCAGTACACAGTGCTTTGTTCAGCGATCATCTTCCATGCTATGTTCCTGCGTCCTTGTTCTTTTCTTGCGATGTCTTTCCCAGTTATTCATTCACTCATTTTGAGCATTGAAAATAGCTGCGTAACACTCTTTTGCGTCCTCGAGCCTTTGAGTTTCACCAAGCCAGGAGATCAGGTGTATGTCAACGGCCAAAGGTTTGTGCAAATATCAAAATCTCGGAGATGAGCTATCTGGCTAGCTGTAGCTACTCAGTGTGGATAGAGCTTGTCTAGGTAGTGACCCTGGATGCACATTTACTTGTACTGCAAGGAGAATAAATTTTCCCCAATAAGAAGACATCATGTCTCTTATTTTTCTAATCGTCAACCTGCAGCTTCATATTTTGCACTCCCGAATATTTGGTCGGAAATCGGAAATTCGTTATAACATGCGGCGTTGGCGTAAAACTGAGTCATGCAACCAATGTATTTAATACATAAATTATTTCTATGGAATATTGCCGGAGTGAAACTGATTAGTCGTATATTGCGTATTGTCATGAAACCGGGGGGGGGTATACGTAATCTATGTTCCTTTTGTAATTGGTAAAGCTAGGCACGAGGCTTCCAATTGAGGACCTTCGAGCACATTGGTGGGTGATCCTGCAGGCAAAGAACACAGCTTGGAAATCTGCAGTTTATTCATTCAAGCAATATTTTTATTTGGGCGAGTTGGGACATGCTTAGCTGGGGAAGACAGCGGAACAAAAGAGCGGACATTGGAGCGCAGTACACAGTGCTTTGTTCAGCGATCATCATCCATGCTATGTTCCTGCGTCCTTGTTCTTTTCTTGCGATGTCTTTCCCAGTTATTCATTCACTCATTTTCAAAGTACAATGTGGATTTGTCTCTCACTGTGTTTTCCCCTAGAACAGTCGTAATTTGAGACGCATACATATTTTCCTTATCTTTCTCTCTCTTTACTTCTAATGGTTTTTTTTTTAAGCACATGGCTTATGTAATTTTTTTTAAAGGCTCAAACCAATTGACATTCTAAACAGGTTAAAAAAGTTATTGCCTACAGAATGCCACTAATGTTGTCTTTCACAAAAATGGCAGCACTGCACACGGTAGAGACGCCATAAATACAAGACAAAAAACACTCCCATGCTTTTCAGCTTTTCGACGTACTTTTGTTGCACATAGGGATGCTAGCACTCCAAAGCATTGTGATGTCCCTAAAGTTACATGTCCTCTGTGTTAAGCCCGTAAAGGACAGCATGCCCATATGAAAAGGGTTGACCGAGTCTGCTGCAAAAGTTCTATTGAGCACTAGTAGCCTTCCTATAATGTTTACATTCACTTTGTATTGTGCACAGGTTAATCAAAAGCTGTAAGTAAAGGCTCTCTGTCTGGTTGACACTGCTTATAGCTACAATTTCCCTGCGCAGATGTGTTCAGCGAAGAGGAAAATGCATCTTCAGGGGACATTCGAGGACGTAAGCCAGAAAATGCATCTGTTGCGGTTGTTTCTCTGATGCCTATGATTCAGTCTCATCTTAGAATTTGTTTTGAGCCTATACACTCATTTTTATTTTTTTTCCTGGTGTGCGTCAACCACAAAGTACCTAAACATACCTACTCACCGTGGTTTAGCAGTTGTAGCAGTAGAGTAACGTGCCACGTTCTTATATTAACCTATTAGCACAGAGCACACTTCACAAAGTACACTTTGTTTTTTATTGATAGAAAATATGCAATTCAAATCAGTTTACTCATGATAATTCGAAGTCATTTAATTAAAATTCTTGCTTAATTATATTGAGTAGCCTATCAGGTGAAACCAGGCAAACCTCTCCAGCTCCCCATTAAAATAATACGGAGTTGGTTACTATAAGTCATAAAGTGGTCCCATCAATTTTGCATGCATGCCTATAGGAAATAATGCTCGATGATTCAAAGTTCAGAGCCCATAATGTTGGTATATTAAAAGTTATTTTTCAGTAAGTGGGGGGGGGGGAGCCTCAAGGCAACTGTAATTTTTCAGCTAGCTGACGATGACGACAACACAGCAATGAATCGCCACCGAGGACTACCGATGTAGATGAAGGGCTTGCTCTTGCGCTGTGATTTTTATGTTTGGTTGAAGACAATGCTGAAGAAGCACTTTGACGTGTGTAGTGCTCGGAAAACTTGCTAGCCGCAGCGAGGTTCGACAAAAGAAGATGACAGACTATTTTCTTAGAGAACTGTCAGGTTTGAAGCAATAAAAGTGCAGTAAAAAAAAGGAACAGTGCGGTGTCCAAGTCGGTGCACGGCAAGCGTGACATTTTCGACCTTGACGAGGCAGAACATTTTTATAAAATGTTGTTGAGCCGCACCTTCACATCGGTGGGTGTAGCGTGCTGGGGATTGAAACAACGTAAGGACAGGGTCACTGCCCTTTTCGAGGCGAATGGCACAGGGTAAGAGAAGCTGCCGTCACTCATAATTGGCAATGCTCTTTAGCCTAGGTGCTTTTGAAATGCGTGACTGCCGAAGGGTGTTATCTATCGCACGAATAGAGCAGCCTGGATGACTGCTACTCATTTTGAAGAGTTTGTTCGCGCTATAGATAAGAAGATTGCCAAGAAAAACAAAAAAGTCCTGTTCATTGTTGGCAACTTCCCAGGCCACAGCAAACTGGAGTATTTGGAAGCAGTGAAAGTAGAGTTTCTGCCTGCAAATATGATGTCTGTGCTGTAGCCCATGGACCAAGGTGTCATCGAAGGGGCCCGAAAAATCTATTGAAAGAACCTTCTCCACATAATTTTGTCTTATGAAAATGGCAAAGGCTACAAAATTGACTTGCTGGGAGCGGTACACCTTCTCAGCAGCGCTTGGCAGCAAGGTTGCGCAGTGGCTATCGCCACCTGATTTGTGCACGGCGAGTTTTCATGTGCCGCCAGTTTGCCAGAAGCAGAAATGGCAGAGACAAATGACTTTATAGACTGTAAGGAACTTTGTCAAAAGGTCATCAAGCTTACAGGTAAAACGGTGCCGTGGAAAATGGTGGAGACTTTTCTGGAGTATGCACTGTGTGAGCAGGATCTGGCGGTGGCCAGGGAAAGGACGGACCTCTAAATCCTTCAAACAACCACTAATGTAGGGGACAGGGGAGATGACGAGGATGACGAACCACCTCGAGAGGTGCCGACATCTTCCGTTTCGAGAAATTTGCTGCGCTTGCTTCGAAATAAGGTCGTGTGCAGCGGTGGGAAAGGCCGACTGATGCGATGCGTCAAGCAGCTGGAGGATGTCTTCCTAGACCTGAGTACAACTGCAAAGTAGACGAACATCAGGCAGTTTTTATCTGCAAAATAAAATGGCAGTGCGGCAAAATCCAGCCGGTTAACGTATCTTGTATGTTTTTTTAAAGATGATAGTCTTTCTTGGGGACCTTCGAAGAAAAAAGTTTGGTCTGTCTGTCTGTAGAGTTGTCTGTCCGCCCTTAGTGATACCCCAAATGGCATCTAACCATACTCCAAACAGCTGACCCATCCGCAGCGCCCACCAATATTGCTGAAGATTCAGCGTTCATACTTGTGCGATTGTCAATTAAAGAGCAATTATTGTGCACATCTGAGTCATTATAACAACTTGTCAATATTCTGTATGTGTGTTTTTTACTAGAAAAGGCATACATAAGTAATTATAAGGACCGCAGCATTTATCACGCTGTGCTGACAATGCAATGCTTGCACAAAAAGGCAAGTGTTTCCAACGCTTTGCTAGGACAACATTGGGGTGGCACCTACCCATCGGCTTGTGTTCTACATCTTATAGCCTTCGAGACGGATGCGCCCGCCGCCCGCTTCATTTTCCAAGATAACTGCGAGATAGCGCTCAGGTCTCACGTGTGACGTGACTTGATGCGCTCGTTCGCCTCCACTGCACGCTCAAGGCACTCTAACGCAGCGCCTCCAGAATACCATTCACCGATTTTCTTGAGCAGAACATCAAATAAACGTTTTGTTCACTCTCCAAACGCAAGACTATCGTTTTTTGACGACATTTGCAGTGTAACATGGAGATATGGGGCCAATTTTTTTCTTTTAAACCTGCACGAAAAGACAGATTAGAAACTGGCACTGATTTTTCTGAAAAGTGCTTATTTTTCTCGGCTATCAGTGCAATTTTGCTTATCTCAAAAATCAGTTTATCTCAAAATTTTACCTGGATTTTATGTCTACAACTTCGAGTTAACGAAATATTGCTATATTAGTTTAGC